ATGCGTCAATTTCAAGTTATTTTTTAAAATTTAAATAAACCAGATACGATTGGATTTATTCTTGTATATTCCCATATATTTATGGTGATACTGGCTACATTTTGAATACACTTCCACAAGTTTGTCTTCATATAGCTTTTTTGTCTTCATACAGCTTTTTTGTCTTCTTTGTCGGTAACTTCTGCCAATGAGGGAGTATACATCAAGCAGTCCAATTTTAATTCCCATGTTTCTACCAGTTTAATGTATTTGTCAACTTTAACCGTACTTTAAATATTTACCTATCTATCTATCTATCTAATCAGCCTTAAACGCCCACGATCTGCATCCAGTCCTTTCCTGCCGTTCTCTTAAGGTCGTCAGTCCATCTCATCTGTGGTCTTCCTCTTTTCTTTTTCTTTTCCCATGGTCTCCAGTGTAGAATTCGCTTATTCCATCTTTCATCTTTTTGCCGGAGAGGGTGACCGGCGCAAGTTCCATTTAAGTTTTGCAACCTGTCTTGATACATCGTTCACCTTTGTTTTTCTCTAATCCATGAGTTCCTTTTCCTGTCTTTAAGACCGATACCCAGCATCTGCTTTCCATTGCTCTTTGTGTTTTGGATATCCTGTTGATGTTCTCCTTTGTGAAAGTCCATGTTTGTGAGCCATATGTGATAACTGGTAAAATGCACTGATTGAATACTTTCGTTCGCATATATTTGAGGGAACTTTTTATTTTTTAGAATATATGATAGTTTACCAAATGAGGCCCATGCTAGTCTAGTTCTTCTTTTTATTTCTTCTGTTTGATTGTCCCCTGTTCAGCTTTATTATCTGTCCTAGGTATATGTATTACTGCCACTGCTCTAATTTATTCTGTTTGACTACTATTTCTAATTGGTCTTCTTGGTTTGTCATAGTCTTGGTTTTACTATAGTTCATCTCTAGACCTACCTCGATCGCTGTTCTATTTACATATCTTTTAAATATTTACCTATCTTTCTTAAATAATAATAAAAGTAATAAAACATCATTGGTGAAAATGGGCTTTAAACATCTTAGTCCAGGACTGACTGACTGGCTTTCTAGCTGGATTCGTTCTTCGTAGTCCCGGCGATAGTTCCCTAGGTACTTTAAAATGCCCTCTCGTCATCTAGACTGTTATTTTTCCTCTTCGGTTTTTCTTAATCACTGCTCTGGCATAGTTGTGTAAACTAATTCAACCTATACTTCATCTAATTTAGATAACGACTTGCGTCATTATCTACGTCAGAGATCGAAGTTGACATAGTTGCCAAAGTTTAAAAAAATCCTGACTCCATTTTAAATCAAATAGATTACATAATTATTACAAAAGTATTTACCATCTCTTTACAACGACTATTTAAAATTCTTACGTGACATTTTTGAAATAAAACACTAGTTTTGTTTTAAAAAGCACAGATTTTATTAAATAATTAAAAATATAAAACAAGAGATATTCACTTTAAAATTCAAAATAATGAAGTACAAAAAGTGTCAATACCGCAACTGTCAAATAAGTGTTACCAATTTATGCCAAAATTTTAGCTTTGTTCGATTACAGTTACAGTGTGTTCCGAACAAATGTTCTTGATAAAAACGCTTTAATAATGCATTTATACAAATTAAAAAAAACATATTATTGTGTATTTCTTTAAGGTAACATTAATAGAAATTTTTAAATCTTATTTCTACGCGTATATAATAAAATATGTCTAGTGGCTGTAATGCCAGTGTACTCGGTAAAGTGATTCTAAAAAAGAACACACCTACACCCTAAATATTTTGTGTTGCTATCATGTAACGTCACAGGCTATGACGCCGATGACGTGCATCGTTATATAAATTAGATGAAGTGTACTTTATTTTCAATCATACCTGTCACTGTAACAAAATTCACACAAGTCTCTCTTCCATTCTGTTCCTTTCACTATACATCTGTTACATTTTAATATAGTATGTGTCGCAGTGTCCGCAGTATAGGCGTTCATCCGTGTCAGCCTTACGGAACCTAGAAGGGTAGGCCCTAAAACACCAGTGTCGTGTGAGTACTTGCGTTAGGAAATAATCCCATCGCCTGTGAGCACAATACACCCAATGTCTTATGTTCGCGATCAGCATCTTAGTCCACTGTGCCACATCCTCCGTGTTCCATTCTCTTACCATCTTTCAATTGACTTCCTCTCTTTTCTGTCTTCTCTCCACTATAGGGCTCTTTTCTTTCCACTGCCACCACGTGTAGCAGAACACATCCAGGTCCACAAGGCTGCCGCAGATACAGTCCTGTAGGCAAATGCCACCTGAAGCAGACTTATTGCGTCCACTCGTGTGATAAGCCTTCTGTAGGACGTTATCTCTACCGTCCCACTCAAGACTTGTGCCCTGCCCAGTGATGTTCCGTCGTGGAGCTGTGTCAAAATGAGGAGATACCTTCGGCAAAAAATCGGTAGATTTCGGTAGATCATATACACTAGAGTGCGAAATTAAACAGACACTCAGATTTTTATGTATTTTTTCGCTTTTTTCGTTTTTAGACAAAAACTTATTTAATCTTTTTGAATTTAATTTTATGCCTATTAGCGATAACGTTTATTTCTTCTTTGAACCCAATGCGTTGATGATTTTTGCGAACAGCAACCGTTGTACACAACATTTTTGCTATTAATGTGAAATGGTGTCTTAAATTGAACATAATTATTTTAAGTATATCAAGTATTCTAAGTATTTGGTAAGTTTTTTCTGTTTTCTGCTTTTCATCTTGTGTGCGTTATCACCAATCTTGTTTTACTCCGAGAATTCAATTTGGTGGAGGTGATGGAGGTGTAGTATTGACAGGCATTTCCCTAGAGACTCCTACAGAAATTGTTACAATTTTAGGGGACAATTTAATTTCTGAAAGGTATAATAAATTGTGTCTGTAAGAGCATGTAGTGTTATTTGCCTCATTTGTTGGAGAAAACTGATGCAAGATAATGCTTGTCTACATGTTGCAAGAATAACACGGAATTACTAGATTCCTTTATAACCAAGGCTCTCAAGGAGTCCAGACTTAAATCTAATAGAGCATGCGTGGTATATTCTGGGATCACGTATTCAGTTTCAAATCATCAATGACTTGGAGCAAGCAGATTAAGCAGTAAATTCCTCAGGAAGAATTATTCCTCAAAAAAGAATTCCTCAGGAAGAATTTGCTGCTTAATCCGAAGTATGCTTGATCGAATGAACGCAGTAATGAGGAGTCGTGGAGCTAATACACCCTACTATATATCGTTTTTTATTAAAAAATGTTCAAAGTTGAATTTTGTTTTTTTTGCAGATTTTTAATTTTTTCGTATTTTTTCTTCTTTTTTCTTGTTAAACTTTTTTCTTTATTAAATTCACTTCATCAAATAAAAAATAAATCAAATAATACTTAATAATCAAATGACTACAAAATTATTAAGACATTATTATTGAATCTTCGGGACTTTCCCTATCTTTTAAATAGTAATAATTTTTAAAAAGTGCGGAATTACGAATCTCTGGGGATTTCCCTATCAGTTGATTTGGTTGATGTATTAAATGCATTAAAATGTATACAAACATGTATACATTGTATACAATGTAAATTGTATTATCTAATTTATTTTTAAGTAAACTATAAGACAAGTGCTTTTTAATATTCTTTCTCAAATTGGTAGATCCAAAGTAGAGTATTTCGGTAGATCGGTATATAGGTATCAAATTCGCTAGATCTACCAAAAAATCGGTACACAGTGTAAAGCCCTCCTCCTTTCGGATTTGGTTTCCCCAATGTTGGGCACTACCCTCTCCAACACAGCCGCAATATTCGCAGCCTTTCGGCCATGGTCCGCACGTGCTTCCCCTATTTTCCATTCTGGTGCAACATCACTCCTAGGTACTTACGTTGGTTGTTAGACACGCCTCCACATATTGTACTACCACACTTTGTCTGATTGCCTGTTCATTTTCCCCTTCAGAATGATGACTTCGGTCTTCTCTACCGCAAGTTTCAGTCCGTGCTATGCCATCCATTTCTTCACAACGCCGCCTGTGTTCTGAACAAATTAATAAAAAATGTCGGAAAATGGAGAGAGAAGATCCCGACAAGTTGTGGTCTAAATTAAAAGAAAATAATTATCAGTAAATAAAAAGAAAGTCACAAATAATAAGAAAGATAATGGAGGCAAAGGATAAGTGGTCTTCAGAAACATGTGAAGAATTACAGCAAAAACACGATACAAAACTCTCCACAAGAAAATAAGGGAAAAGGAAGGAAATTCTTCGCATTCTTCAGTACCACTGTCATTTAATAACTGTAGTTCGTCCATAGTGCTACACAGTATCATCCGCACATTTCAGATATTAATTCCGTTGACAGTGATACTGACATGAACTCTGGTAATTGCCTCTTTGAGAATATGCTCAGAGGACAAATTAAAAAACAGTGTCAAGATCCACCCCGTCGAAGCATACGGAAAGTTTTAATTGATTTAGAAGTATCTAGATTCTAGGCGAATTCTGACTTTAATTCCTGGTGATAGTATAGATTTTCTATAATTCTTTGTCGTCTATTTCTACTCTTGTTCAAGAATTTCCATCAATTTTCCATGTCTAGTCTATAAAGCACATGTACTCATGATAGTTTGACATCTCTACACCTCTGAATCAGTACTTGCACGCTAAATAGTGTCTCTCTCGTCTTTAAGAGAATACAATATCAATAAAAACCAAATGTATAAAAATTTACTTTTGCACGACCCTGATTCTATACCACCGGTTATACGCATATAAAGTAAATATTTATTAGGAACAGAAACTTAAATTTACAATAGTTATTCAAGTAATTGTATTTCCAGGTTTATTTGACTCTTTAACCTTTTCATTTCTGTCGGAAAATGTTTTTCCACAATTATTTCCGTATTTTTAGCTCTAGTATATTTTGTATATACAAATATTAAAAAGAGTAATTCTTAACGTAATTTTCTGTTTTTTTTAGATCTGGCAGTAGTTGTACGTAATGAAATCCAACTACTATCCGCAACTGGATCCGTTTTAGAATCTAGAAAACCGTTTTCTTCGTTAAGGGCAATTACGTACGATGGTATCAGGGATCAGTTTGTTGTCAGCGACACTGACAGAAACAACGACACAATTTTCACTGTCCGCCTATCCAAAGAGACTGCTACCGAACCAATAATACATAGTCCTCCCGGTGACGTACAGGTGAGTTAATTTTTGCTTAAAATAGTGACTATATTTGTGGCTTTTCGCCAATCTATCGCAATACGATATTCTGAATTTTGACTCTTTCAGAGGAGTTTGTAGTGCCTTTTTTACCTTTTTTACTTACTCGGTATTGAGATCTTGTAATCAGACTCCACATATTTGAAATTATTACATAATCTTAGGTTGTATAGGTTGCTGGTTCACTGATATAAAAGGTAATTAGCTGTCTACGTAAGGTACTAATGAGACTGCTTCTTAAAAGCTTAAATCTAGCCCAATATAAATATGTTGAAGGTGATTTTAACAAATTTATTCTAAATGAAAACATAAACACATATGAAAATATGTATCAAAGTATAACAATAATGAGAAATACTAAAACTAATGTAAATGCCCGGAAACTAAAACTACGAAATTGTACCTCTAATAATGTTCCACCTACTAAGGAAGTCTGATCTTTTCTCTCGTCAGGCGTCAGGCCTTTACGGACGGGTAAATGTAATATATGTATCTCGAGCTCATAAAGCCCAGCCGGCGCATATTGAACCCAGCCGAGGCCAGCACACGCCGGCGAAATGTCTAAATGCGTGGACAGTTTTGTGAAGCACGGTTAGAAGCGAGGTACTGCAAATTGAACAATTGAACTCATTCTGGCCACTCTACAACCAGCTCATGCACACGCCGGTCACACATGGAAAGGTTTGTAATCATCAGCGTAGTTTTCGTGAGTCGTGGCGTGCGTGTTCCACTCCAACTACTCGCTGTTGTTTACTTTTATTTGTTTTTGTTTCCTAGATGGACATAGAGATAATAGAGAAGCTGATTTAACTTGTTCGGGATCATGCCGTGGTATATGATACCATTTATCTTCCGATTCAGAGTCCTCCTGTAAATTGATTAACAAATGCTTCTAGGTTGAAGTCATTTTAGTTACTGGCCACGGCGATAGCCCACGAATTGGTTCAATAGACTTTCCCCATTTATTGTGTTTATTGGTATCACTATATGCCGCAACTTTGCAAATCGATCTTAGAGCTTCCACTAATTCCGTGAGGAATCACTTACAATTCAAACGTAACGTTGGTGTTATTGGTTTCTAAGGTCATTTACGAGATACAAGTAAGTACTTTTAAGGCACTACGAGTGCTTGGTGCCCTCTTCCACAAACATATATCGACTGTCGTTCGATGTTTTGTATTTAGTCACTTGAGGTAAGAAAAAGAGGTTGCTGTGTAAATTCAGCATATGTTGGCGTTTTTTGTTATGGTATAAATACTGTTTAAACCATTTCCAATAAAAAAGGTCTATGTAATATCCGACAAGCGAGAGCTGGCGGGTGAGCTGCGCGAAAATAGAAAAGGAATTATTCTAAGAGGGGTAGGAGAGGTACTTAATCGCGATTATAGGTATATAGTATAGTTACTTAAAGGGTTATACACGATGTGAACTCCTAGCCGACTGCAATAGAAATGAGCAATCCCTTCCACTTTTCAATTTGTTCTACGCATAACCCGCCAGCTCTCGCTTGTCGGGTTATACTTCTCTGAAATTAGTGACTGGGTATACTTAAGCCATGAAGATGGAAATAGTCTTCTGAATAGATAAATATTTAATCACTGTTTTTGTGAGAATTTTGAACACTCTCTAATTTGAAAAGCGTGCGTCGTTTGCTCACGTGGCGGCGACTGGAGCAGCATTCTTGAGCCAAGGGCACGGAGTGACGTTTCGTTACGTTGTATTGTACCGTTCGTCAGTTTCATGGTTCCGATTAGGTTTGCCTTTCGGAAACTCTGCCAGCAATTGTGTGCTTTGTTTTGAGCCCCTACTTAACTCTAGCCTGATTTGATTCGAGGTGTCAGAAAAGTTACTACAGGAATAAATAGCTTGTGGTGGCCATGCGTTCATCGCGACTTCAGTTTTGATCCTTCGATGTCAGCTTTTCTTATTGTTGCTTAGTTTTTCGAGAGTCGAAGGGTTCCAAACACAGTGGCTTTAGGCTTTACTATACAATCGTAGTTCGCTACGATTATCGCTCGAGCCCGTATTTCCATTAAGATTATCACTTCGAACCGGATAATCTTGAAAGTGTGATACATCATACCAATCCCATTAAAATCACATAAAATTGTCAATTCTAAATGCTATATATACCTCACTATTAATTTATTTATACAAACTATTCAGGGAATTGAAGAAAACCAATTGAGGAAGATATTATATCATTATCATTCTCAGATGGAATATTTATTTAAAATTTTGGTAGTCTCAATGCAGCAAGTCTTGTATTAATTTTCATTTATTGGCGTATCCATTCATTCAATTGTTAAAAACAAATAAAGTATTATAATGAAACAAACAAAAGATTCCTAATAAAATTCAACATTTGCATTTTGTGCATAAATTTTCTTTATCCTTCCTTTTTTATTTAGGAAAAGGGAAAGAGATTTGTTGCTTTTAACAAAAAGTTTAGATTAGATAAACTTGAGCAGTGATTATTCAATTCATTACTTTCATTGTCGAGTGTTTAGTGTAATTTGATTACAATGCAATGTAAACCTCGACGATATATGTAATTAATAACGAAAAGTTGTCGATGTATGCAAATTTTTCGTTTGATTTAAATACACAAATAAAATCGTTAGTTTTAATTCCTGACATTTCTAGAACAACACTTCTAGAAGGTTAACTTTTAAGTTTAAAAACCAATTATTTGTCTATTGTATGTAGATAAACTTTAAAAAAACGGTAAACAATTGTTAATAAGTTAAATTTCTTTTGGTCACAACTTTTAACACAAAATAAACAAGTTCTATCGGGTATTTCCTATTGAAACTTTGTATTTCGGCCTTTTTTTGGTATTTGTTTCTAATCTTAACTAAAATTACAATAAAACAAAGGTAGGAAATTCGACGAAATATTTCCAAAAAACCTCGACTAAATTCTTAAAAAAGTAACTATAAAGCAATTGGAAAATGATCCCTAGAAGAGAGAGGTATTTTCTCGGTTGACAGTGCCCAGTCCCTGCGACTCTTTTCAGCTCTTATCTACATAGACAAAACCCTCCCATATCTGCGTTTCTAATAATAAATAAGACTTACTCACAATCACTGATTGTAAGTCTTATTTATTATTTCTTTTGCCTATTTTACTGATATAAAAAATAATTTAACCACATTTAATAATTTGCCTGGAAGTAAAATGTCGCATTGAGCAAGCTCGACAAGCTTCGTTAAAGTTCAAGAAGGTACTGACTTGTTCAGAGTTCGATCTTCAACTGAGACTAAGGTTTACTAAGTGCTACGTATGGTCAGTGCTGCTATATGGCGTAGAGGGCTGGACACTCAAAACTAGGGATATAAACAGATTAGAAGCTTTCGAAATGTGGCTTTATCGCCGTATCCTAAAAATACCATGGACAGCGAAAATCATAAATATAGATGTCCTTAAAGAGAATAAACCAAGAAAGCCAACTTTTCGAAAACCATCAAGAAAAGGAAAACGGCGTATCTAGGTTACATCATGCGAAATGAAAAAATACCAGTTCCTCCAACTTATAATCGAGGGTAAAATTGAAGGCAAAGAGAGGAATGGGACGCAAGAAAATGTCCTGGCTCCGAAACATAAGGCAATGGACAGGGATTAACGACATACAATCTCTGATACATATTGCAAGAAATAGAGAATTAATGGAAAATGTGATCGCTAACATCCATTAGTGGATTTGCATCTGAAGAAGAAGAAGAATAATAATTTGCCTACTACATATACCAATTCCTTCTTAAAACCACGTGGGCCTCTCAAATATTTGGAAACGCTGTCTGACAAATCCCTCAAGTAGCGTTCAACACAAACAATCGGTGATTAACTCGACAAAAACTGCCAAATAACATTTTGAGCACAAATTCACCTCTCAACTTAAAAAAATTGCCGGCTTTGAAGACTACACGACGAAATCTATCTCTTCCAAATCCAAATATCCTCTTACTTAACTTTTAACTGATACTACCACTTCACAATATATATCCATGACAAAAACGAATAATGAACAACAATAACGAATTTGAAGAAAATCCGGACTAAGTATGAAATCAAATGCTTTGGCGTTCAAGCGTAGAGTGACATCATTCGCTCAACCCGGTAAAAACAAACCATAAACGGAAATTTTCCGTTTATTTGAATCAATTTTGCCGCCTGGAGATTTCCGCAAATCTCCAGGCGGCATCAAGATCAAACCTGGAAATACCAATATATGCTTTATAAACAAACCAAAAATATGTATACTATCAATCTCCGACGCAAAAAGATTGAGAATATTTTTCGGTGTTTTATTGTCTACGGGGTGAAATCCAAATGCTACCCGAGAACAGACTGCAGATAATTAAATGTTTTCAGTAATGTCTGATTTCATAGTTTCGTTTGAAGATTGACGTCAGGTTCATAAATTTTTCTAAGGCCAGTTGAATACATTGACTAAAACTGTTTAATTTTTAGGGGCTCGCAATTGATCCCGTAGAAGATGTTTTATATTGGACGAAAGCTCTCGAGAATACCATAGCTTATGTGAGATTGAACAGCTCCGAGCACTTTCCTGAAACTTTTATGGCTTTCACAGATATAGCCCCCCATGCGATTGCCATTGATGTTTGCAATCGGTAAGTTTTTATAATATAAAAATGCATTATGGTAATATTAATTTATTCTTTATTACTATTATTACCCTCAACTTTCCGTCCTGGAGTTATACAGTTTTTAATTTTTGTCTATATACATCTAAAAAAGGGCTAATGAATGAAGTGAAATTGTTTTTATCTATTCAGAGTTTTATGAACAAGAATAATAATGTATTTCCTTTAATTTGCACTGATATAGTGTATGTACATCACTATATAGTGTTTTTTGGCCTTGACTAGGGACTGACAAATTTAAAATCTTTTAACTAAATATCCTGTACATCAATATACTTTTTGAATATATAAGTATATTTGGATCGGATCATGTAATAATGTTAATTTTTTTTTAATAATCACGGATGTACCATTTTTTGCCGCTATCTTCTAGTACACGTATTAGAAAGAAATGCACTGAAAACGGCTGTGAGGTACGAGGATAGATCGATATTAAACTAGTCTTTGATAGATGGCGCTACTTGATGCCGAATTGGTTTCGCTGTTGACATTTGCCGTTCGTGACATGACGTCTGTCAAAATTTTAAAGCTGGATTGATAGTTTGACGGACTGTAGACGTAGAAGCACTGGAGACGTAACAAACGGACTGTAAATATTATTTCATTTTATAAATCGACGGAGTGGAATTTTTGCGCATGGGTAGAAACAGTGGCTAGACTGATAACCATGATACTATATTATTTTTTTTTATTTATTATTATTATTTTATAAATTCCATTATTTTATAAATTAAAAACGTCCATTGTAACAAATAATCAACAAAATCAAAATTCGAATATGTTGATAAGCAACTTAACAAAATGTTAGGTGGGCCAGACAGTTCACTTTGGTTGACAGCACAAAATTCCTTCCTTTTGATTGGCCAGACGCAAGTAACGCACTATAAAAGATGAAATTTGACCAACTCTTCCGTTACAGTGCGTTTCGGTTACGCCCCGTCATGCGTTTACGTTCATTTATAAATAAGAGTACACAAAAGTCTATGTTGATCTTTTTCCAGTGCGTCTGCGTCTACAGTCGAGTCTACAGAAAAGTCGAGTATCGTTCGGTGATTCCTCCACAAAAAGGGTAAAACGAATGTGCAAATCAAAGCCGACCTGGACGAAGTTTATGGTGAGGTTGCACCTTCGTTAGCAACAGTAAACTTTTGGAAACTGAATTTGTTCGTGTTCGTACGAGTATTTTTGATGATGAGCGTCCCGGGAGGCCAAATGAAGTCACCACGCCGGAAATGATCAACAAAGTCTATGACATGATTATGACAGATCGTCGAATTAAGCTCCGCGAGTTAATGGTCCTAAACATTTCCTACAAACGCGTACACAACATCATTCACCATCATTTGGACATGAAAAGGCTATCCGCGTGATAGGTGCCGCGTTTGCTGACAATCGATCAAACGCAAACACGTGTGACCACTTCGGAGACGCTTTTGGCGATGATACGGTGCGATTCCAAGGATTTTTTTCGCCGATTTATCACTGTTAGTGAAACCTGGGTGCATTATTACATACCGGATACCAAAGAACAGTCGAAACAGTTACGAAAATGCGGCGAAGGGCCGCCGAAGAAGGCAAAGAGTGCACATTCGGCCGGCAAAGTGATGGTGACTGTTTTCTGGATACAAAGGGCATCACCCACATCGACTATCTACTTAGAAAAAGGGAAAAACGATCAATGGTGATCAATCATTATTGGATCGATTCGATGCGAATTGCGTCGAAACGCCCACGTCGAATTGTCGAAATTGTCGCCATGGCAAAATTACACGAGTTGGGCTATGAATTGGTTGAACACCCATCGTATTCCCCAGATCTTGCCGCCAGCGACTTTTTTGCTTCCAAACCTAAAAAATGGCTCGGAGAACGCCGTTTTGCAACAAATTATGAAGTCGTCACTGAAACTTCGGCCTATTTTGACGGAGCTCTAGCAAAATATACTATTCGGATGAATATGACGAGATAATGACAAGAAAACACTTGTTTTTTCTATCAAATTCTTGTTTTATATCAATCCACCCTCGTATATCTCTAGATATACAGTTGAATTAAATTTAACAAAATTATGTAATAAGTTGCCTTATTTGAATTTTTGTTTTTCAGCTACATTTATTACACAACAAATCCCTCAGGCAACAAGCCGACTATTGAAAGAAGAAAATTAGACGGCACAGAACACCAAATTTTAGTTAATGACACGATTTGGACTCCGGTAGGTTTAGCGATCGACTACAAAAATCAACGACTATATTGGGCGGATAGTAGAATTGGATCATCAACTGGTAGGATCGAAAGCATCAGTCTTGATGGTAAAGAGAGAAAACTCTTCATGGAAAGAAATACAGTGCAGCCTTTCGGATTAGCCGTAGACGAAGAAGCCGTCTATTGGACCGATACTAACAACAACGCTTTATACAAACTATTAAAAACCGAAACAGATCCGTCTACAGCCCCTGAGAAAATTGCGCATTTTGCAGATACACCTATGGGGTTAGTAGCGAATTTTTTTATGAACGACTGTAAAGGACTTCCAGAAGCTATTAAAGAATATCAACAACACCAAATGCAATCCAACCAAAGTAAAGAATTTGATACAGAAGAAGTCTTCCAGTGTTTCAACGGCGGTATCCTTAAAAACAACACTTGTGATTGCAAACGTGGCTTTAGGGGGAAATTCTGCGAAATATCCGTCTGCAGCAACGATTACTGCTTGAACGGAGATTGCTACCTATCGTCATCTGGTAAACCAACATGTAATTGCAATAAAGGTTTTATTGGTAACAGGTGCCAAAAGAATAAATGCGATACATACTGCTTAAATGCAGGAGAATGTATTATCACGTCGTCCATGAATACACCTACGTGCAGTTGTCTTGAAGGATTCATTGGAAACCGATGCGAATACAATGAAGAAATTTGTGATTTGTACTGCAGCAACCAAAAAGACAGCGGATTTCCCGATGAATTTCAAATAATGTGCAGGTAATTGATACTATGCTAAGTATTTATATCATCATCTGGATGCTCATATTCCTACGGCATGTAATTTTACATTATTACACATACACAAATTACATGAATACTTCGGTCCATATTGTCACCCTAATATTCCTTCTTCTTTACGGACCATCTCCGCGACGGAGGTTGGCAATCATCATGGCTCTTTGATCTTAGATGCTGCTGCTCTGAATAGTTCGATTGATGTGTATCCGTACCATTTCCCTCAAGTTATGCAACCATGAGATTCTTCTCCTTCCTTACTTCTCTGCCCTGATTTTCCCTTGTATAGTTAATTGAAATATTCTGTATCTTTCATTATTGTATAATATTCATGCCCAGGTATTGGAAACCATCAAGACCATCGTGTCTTGATGGTTTCCAATATTTCCATTCTTTTGTTGACTCTTCTCATGATTTTGTTGTTTGTTACATGCTCGGTCCATGGTATCTTCAGGATTATTCTATACACCCACACTTCAAATGCTTCCAACTTTTTAGTAGTCGACGCGTTAAGTGTCCATGCTTCTATCTCGTTAAAGCAGAGTCAGAGACAATATAACTTGCGATCGTAACTGTTCAAGTCTAATTTCAGTTCTCTTGCACAAGTACCTTTCTCAATTTATTGAAGTTTGTTCGTGCTTTCTCTATTCGAACTTTGATTTCTTTGCATCTCTGGATTAGTACGTTGAATGCAAAGAGAGCTTCACGGATACCTACGCCTCTACGGAATCTAAATTGGGTTTCTTCAATATCCATATCAAGTATTTCTTTAAAAACATTTTAAGTGTGTGATCATCAGGCTTATGGTGTTAATATTATATAGACATTCTTTTATTATAAAAAATGTTTACTATGTAAGTAAAAATTTTTACTTATCTTATTTACTAGTCCCAATACTGGTTTTATAAAAACTTCCTAGAAAGTCACAATACTAGGAAAGTGATTGTATAAAATTTTAATGCATGGTGACTTCACTTCTAGTTAGTCATTAATTAGATCTATAATCGATTGATTCTTGTGTCGAAAACAGAAAATCTCGGGTTACCTTCATATGGTCAATATATGACATTTATAAACGTCTTAAATGCTGTAGACTTTTTCACAGTCGCCTGAGAGGCATGGTAATTTGCCCCATTTTTATAATAGATGTTTCGAGTTTTATAATGCGATTCAGTGTTCGTTGTTAGCTATTAAGCACACAATACTCAACTGCAGGAAATAACCAAGCTCAGGACATCGGACACTGTCCTCAGTGGACTGAATAGCGTTTGGAGATTGTCCCCACGTTGAGCGTCCCCCATTTTTATTTGTAGTCTCTAACTTGTCAATAGTTTTTAAGTTTCACTTCATTATGGCTTTTCCTACTTTTAGTTTCTGTTTTCAAATAATACTTGTAAGGCAGTTAATTGTTTAGGTGACTGCCTCTTTGTAGGAAGCTTTTGAAACTTAATGAATATCATACAATGTCACGATAATTAATAACTTATCAACTTATATACAACTTCATAAAAACAAAAAGAGAAAAGATCTTAAAATGAACTCAGGTGTGATGAAACTTGTTAAATTTCACGCGAAATATCTTCTAAGATTTATCGTAGTAAGTTAATAAAAAGTTCCTGGAACATCTAATTAAAAAAAACGTTTATATAATAAAGAAAAACAAAACATTTTAAAAGCAGAGCCAAACAAAGATAAAATTTTACAATTAACTGTTGATCTTAGACCTGATCTTACCCTGTTGATTTTAATACAATTCTTCTATCTTCAAGTGCCCTGTCCGTTGCGAACGTTGGCTATTTCTCTATAGCTTCGTTCTAGTCGCGCTTTAAAGTTTCTATGGTCTGTTCCCAATCTTGCATTTACGTTGGTGCCAAGGTAACACATAATATTCTACATGGTCAATTGTAAGTTACTTATCCGTAATTGTCAGAGCAGGTTATTGCTTTTTTGCTATATCAGCATCAACTTTTGTCTTCTTGGAAGTTGAGGCTCGTTATTCCTCACTAATTGAATAATAGTCTTTCCATCATTACATGTTGTAAATTCGTCTATGGTACTGGCAGAGGAAAGGATCTCACCGTGTCGTCGGCAATATCTTATTATTGTTCAGTTAACTCGCCCTTTATTTTTAAGCCCTCATTTTGCATTTCAAATTCCATACATATGTTAAATATTTTCCTCGGAATACATATTGAATAGGAGTGGGGATAAGATTACAACCCCTGACGGACACCTCTTTTGATCTGCACGCTTTCAGTGAGGTTCGTTTTGCCAATTTTGCTCTTGCTGTTTTGACCCCAGTATAGGTTTGCCACAATTCGAAAGGTAAGTTCCTCGTCAATACCTGTCTTTCGCAGAATACCTATCAATTGTTCATGATTGACACTGTACCATTGTTTTTCTAAAATCAATTCAAATCAATCAAAACAATTCAGAAAGTTATATTAGTATTTTTGCCATTTTGCTTGACAAAGTAAGTTCAAAAACAATTTCGTTTGAAAAGAGATATTGAGCGAATTTATTAGTGATTATTAATAAAGTTTAAACATTGTTTTTATTGAAACTCACGGACTTTGCTTGATACGGATGTATATAAAATACTAAGGAACAATCATTATTTTAGGTGCAGTTACATTTATTCAGACAGAAACGACAGCTCTCCTCTCCAATCTTCGTTACAAAGTCAGCCAGATCTCCTTTCCAAGTTTCAAGATCCTGTGGTTTACTTGTCGGCCATCATTTTAGTTTGTGTAGTGGTTATCATCGGCATGTTAGTGTACATCCACGTCGTTCAGAAGAAACGGCCCTAGAATTCAGAAGCGAATCATCGTCAGCAAAAACGTCACTCCTCTTACATATCGACCACAGCCGAATACAGAACAGTGCGAGATTACAATCGAGAACTGTTGCAACATGAACATTTGTGAAAACGGTAAGTTAAGTTTCAGAAATTATATAATGCAGGTAGTAAAACGGCAGGTAAACGGCCAATTAGAAATATCTCGAGAACTTAAAGATAACTGCAAGTTGCTCGGTGATAATTTCGTCGTTTTTTTTATTGGGACACCCATGTATAGATTTTAATTTTAATAAATAATCTCACACGTAAATCTGAATATTTTGTTGTTAATACTCTCCCTATACCTATTGGTGAACCTGTTTTGGAGTTATGAATTTTTATATGAAAATTACATCTTTTCATAAACCATGTATATAAAGTTCAATTCAGTTTCAGAACTATTCTATAACTCTCGCTAGATCGATAGAAATGGCTTAGTCGAATCGGAATCTTCTGCAAATCATAATGATCACACTAGCTAGCTGCTACTGAAATCGGTATTCTGGAAATCAAATAGAAGAACAGACAGATTCGAAAACAACCATTCTCGAGATTTCCACTCGGTTTAATATCGTAAGGCAACCCTCGCAATTTCGCTTGTGACAAGTGACAATTTGACAGTCTAAACTAATCCAGAAATATTTGTTTACGTTTTTTAGGTTTGGTTAATTTCATATTTTACCAATGTGGTAGTGGTTTTTGCACGTGCCCATAGGGTTATTATTGAAGGTTGACATATTTGGCCTAAAAAGACAGAAAGAACAGTTACCTAACATAAGAAAAGATTTTGAATAACACGATTTATATCGTATCCACATTTTGAAGCGTGTTAAATGAGCTTACTTACCTTAGCAATTCTTCCCCAATTTCAATTTCGCAAGATCGATGCCCGAAATTTAATTGTAAAAGTCATATCAAAAGTTTCTTATATAAGTTGTTTTTAGTAGATTGACATACAAACATCAAAATAATCTAAAATGCGCTATGCGTTAAGCACAATTCCGATTACGGGAATCTCCTTTCGACAGGGTGAAAGCTGTTCGAATGTCCTTTCTATTCACATATTCCGATTGTAGAGAATCGACAAGGCAGGATTATGGATAATACCGATTTGTACTTATTTCTATTCGAACTGGGCAAACTTCTATACGATTTCCCTGACTTTTAATCATCGAACTGAGTTACAGAATAGGCATGAATATCCTCTAATGTAATTAGAATAAAAATTTTTGTCACAAAAATTTTTTTTTGGAGACTATGTTGTGTTGATTTACAACTGTCATATTGTGAGTTAAACATTGAAACAATTAAAAATCTGCTATCAAAGAAAATAGGCTCTAGCTTATTAATGTAATAAATGTTCAAAATGTTACTCATCAACATCCAATCACCTCTGAACTCTTTTAATCAGATATTCATTAGTAGTTGTTGATATGGATATTGTTCTTTATCTATGTCGTTAACAACTCGAAGGACTTTATTTATTATAGTTTTCTCAGTAGTGATAGGTTCAGGGAACACCTTATATCTCCAATATAGTAATATAATGGTGACAATGGGATCTTGGTGACCAGAGAAACAGATCTTTATTAGCTATCCGTCTATCGCCAAATAGCAATGTACCCGACTCCTCTAATATTGTGAGCCGGTGCTCCATCATGTTCAAACCAAGCGTGCAGTGCTGGTACAACTACTTGTCGTAAAATGTTGCAGTAAGGCTCTCCGTTTAAATTTTCGTCATAAATCATGAGAGCGACTATCTTCAATGTATTCATACATTTCATAACCGATAAGTATGAATATGGATTAGCTGCAAATTATTCCAGGATAGCTATTTATAAGTAATATCGACGACGTGAAACCAAAACTGGGAAACAGTTGTTCAACGAACGATTTAACAGGTTTATATGAAACTGGTCGAGGCTTCTCAAGACATACCCTCAGCAAAAACACGGCAAGTTCTGGATACTATTCTGTTACACTCACCGTAAACTAGTATTAAACATGGGACCAATAACTGATATTTTTGTCAGAATATTCCATATACCCCATTTGAAAAAAGGAATTAAGCGAAAATTAAGGATGACCGTTTTATGCCAATTTTGACAGCACCCTATATAATGAAAAAGGCAATTTTACCTTTCATAAGTTTAATAATAAGGAATAATAAGGTTTATAAGTTCATAAGAAATTTAAATTTTTATTCAAATTACATTGGAGGATATTAAACATTATATACATGGTAGAAAAGTGTAATTTTCATATAAAAACGCAAACAAAACGTAACGGCATGTTATAAAAGTTCAGAATCATGTACCATTTTAAGAGCGGAATATATCGAAATTAGGGGAATGCGAACATCATATTTGTCTCAAATATATGTCTTTGTTCATCATTATACAATTATATTTTTTCTTTTCAGCCATGTTTCGAGCCGACAGGCGAGGACAAGAAGAAACTTCTAATGAACATGGAAGGCGAAGATCTTTACTAAGATTTTCCGATCTAAAATCGGCTGTGACTGTATAAAGTATTAAAACCATTGTTAAGTTTTTAATATTTATATTTATAAAGACTGTATTTACCAGTCCTTCTATTACAGCTATTGGAGAGTTTTACACAAACATTATAAATGAGACTGAGCGGTTTGTAACACTTATCATTCCCCATGACACGACTTTTCAGAATATACCAATGTAGAAATTCGATGCGAATTGCTAGTAAGAATAAAAACAAATAATATTCGATAAATACTTAATTTTTCAATCGAAGGGATCAAATAAGATCTTTTCTTAATTTTAAACAAGTGATTAGGTATAACAAAATTTTTACTGTAAAGTAGTATAATAATATTGTTGCAAAACGTGTATCTAGTTTCCTCATTGCAGCCTAAAATTGTTTATTTAACTTTTGCGTATAGAAGTAAATTTTGGGAAAAATATCACACAATTGCGAAGGTTGTCCACCTGGAGAGACTGTGTTCTTATGAAGGGCAGGTATATTTAGGTTTTATTTTAGTTACATAGGGGAAATTTTTTCCCTGATTCTAATTCTGTTTATCTCATCCGATATAGACATAGATCTTATCCAAGTTGGTTGGTTGATTGTTGCTATTAGATCTGATCACTAGATTGGTCGGGACCAATCTTCCAATTTCAGTTTTCTGACTAAAGGTGATCATTCTTATTAATGGAGGGTGATAAGAAAATTAATCACTTATATAATCGGAACGAAAAGAATTGCAGTGAATCCACTGTAACTGTAGAAACAGATGCAGATGATACAATAGAGGAGAATTGCAGTGTATCTACTCCAGATTTAAATGATATCAACCAGTGAGGAAAATAAACAGACCTAGTCAGATTCTTCTCATACTCGTGGAAATCTGCGTCCAAACAAGCCGGATATAATCATTGGCGCCGCCAGGATTACTTTTAGGGACGTTGCTATCTGCTTTTCAGCATAGTGCATTTGCATCTACATATTCTATTAACCAATATAAAATATAGAACTATACATGTATTGACGTAATGTACATTCTGTTAGGGGGCAGGGGGGTGCAATTTGCCTCCCACATCGCACCCCGCGTACGGGAACCCTCGGATATAGTTAATTGTATCCAGAGTCAAAAAAAAAACCCTCAAGTTCCGGTTCTGGTGGCGGATCTTCCTTAAATCAAGGTAACCCCAGGTCAGTAATTTATTATATTATACATTAATTTTGTAACATAATAATAATTACCAAAGAGGTAGTAATCTATCAGGGGAACAGCAGAATACATTAACGTCAACCTGGGTTGTTCGCAGTATGCCAATTCAAAAGTAAAAACTGTTTTGCAGCATTGTGTTGTAAACTATTGGCGACGTGCATAGAACTTGGATGTGAATAGCGAGGAGAACGATCGTAGCGCGAGTAGCGGAGAAGAGAAATTTTGCATTTTTACTGCACATTTCAGAAATTCATATTGTCAATTGTCATATTCATATTCGTTTGTTTTATTTACACTTCTGTCGCTGAAGAAAATGGGATTTAGGAAATGCTGTGTTATAAATTGTAAAAATAACAACAAAAAATTGTCAATTTAAGTTTTATTCGTTTCCAACTTCGAAGCACAAATTCATACAAAGAGAAAAGTGGATTTATATAAACATAACCTATAATTATGCATTATTCTTGCGCCCGATTTTAGTCAGTTTGAAATAAGATAATAAATAAAAGTTACCTTAAGTGTAATTTTAGTTCATAACACTCATTTAGAGTTCATTTTAACCCAAAAATCAAGTTAATGTTTAATTTTATTTGTTATGAAGTTTACAAGAATGCATCAAGTTCAAGTTTTTTGAAGATGCATTAAGATATATTCGCTATCTAAAAGATTACAGGGAAAGAATTAATTGTTCAAACCAATATGTGATATCATGGGCTTCATGCTAATGTACGCATTTATGCATTGCATTATATATGGTAATTTATTTTACTTAATTCTTCCCAATATTCTTTCATTCTTTTTTGACATTTGCCATACTAAAGCTTTTCCCTTGGACTCAAGTGCCTTGGTTGAAAAGTAATTTGTGGAGAATTTACTTTCTCAAAATCCAGTTTTTAATAATGCATCCATAATAAACAGTAATGCTATAAGTTAATAATAAAATTATTTTGTATTTACACTACATACAATGTTTACCCTTTTAATAACATACCGACATTAACCGCGAACTAAACATGAAAGCGCAGTAAATTTTTGCTTGATTTACGGGACACAAGGTGTCGCCAGTTCCGAACTTGCACGGACCCAATAGATTGCCATGGATGGTAGCAACCATTGGGAAACCGGGTTTGGCACTACAAAGAAGAAACGTTAACATGGACCTAATAAATATGACCTCAGTTTTAAAAACGATAATTGCAGTGTGATCAAAATTTTTCCCTGCATTCTTTTTGAGGTCTGTAAACAGTCGTCAGTGGAGGTCATTTCTAAAGAACATTAAAGAGTACATTTCCTGTACAGTTTGGCTGAACCTTTGGGATTTTTTTTTTACCTGGTTTTCATATGTTGCTCTTCACTTTCTTAAAAGTGTTGGATCTGTCATTGGACGAAGTGTTTAACGTATAACCATTTATTGGCAAAAGTTGTTCAACTCCATATTGAACACAATATGACGGTGACGTTTTTTGAAGGTTAACTAACACCCATTGATGAAGCTCCATCTACATGTCTTGCCCGTGAATTATTTAGTGCTGTATAATAACTCGAGGATTCAGTTGAAAAAAAACGGATAATTTCATTTGTTTAGATGAAAATGTTTCTCTAGAGAAATAATCATTACTACTAATTACTAGTTGTGCACCACCTAAATAAAAATTACTCTGTTTATTACCACATGACTTGCGATTCGTTATTATATATGTGGCATCAACTGATTTTATGTTCAAACACGCCAGTCGAAGTTGCATTGTGTAGTAGTAGAGGCATACTACATTCGATGTCACACTGATGACTGATCCATTAAATCTGAGAAAAATCTGTTAAGGGGGTATTAGTTGGCGATTGTTTTATTTTGTGTACCAATAGCATACCAAGCTATATCATCCCGAACCGAGATTGAATATATATTGTGTGATATTTCTGAGAAAAATCAATTTATAAATATTTATCTGCAGTCAGTAAGTTGTTTGAAAATGTACATTTTTGCCGAAAATATTATTATACAATAGATAGATATACTGACAGAATGTTCACTATTAGTATCTGCTTATAAAATGGGAGTGACATAATTTCCTGAAAAAATTCGCTACACAATACAAAATCTTCAAACTCTATACAACCACAATCATTCTCGAATGATGATTCAAAGATATCTTTACCAACTACTCTACATTTAAAAACGACTCCCCTAGTATTTTTTATTTGACAAAAAAATGCGAAGATTCATTATTCAACAAACCATAGACTGATATACTTAATATTCATAAATAAATGTTGAGTCACTTCCAGTTTATACATGTGAAGCATATTTATTACTTAAAACAACTTTCTTTGCGTTTTCTGTTTCTTTTAATTATTTATAATATCCTTCTACGTTCATGCAAATCTGTTTATTTTGGGAATATCATTAAGATATTTTTTAATGCTTTAAAAGGCAGTATCATTTTTTTTTGTACATTTGGAGTGTTCTAACAACCCGTTTTCTTATTTATCAAATTTTTATAAAGATATAGTGGTTTCCATTGTACCCACTGCTTATTATGAAGGTATATGTAGTATTCTCCAGTAGAGACCACTTTCTGTTTTAGAGTAGAGTAGAGTTCACCTCTTATTTGTGTATCAAAATATTTTAGATAATACATTTAATACTCATATATTCTCTTCGGAGATATTTTTATTCGGCGTCAATTCTCAGGAATTTTTTTAAGTGTTTTTCTTCTCCGTAATTTTCTAATGCTTTTCTGTCAAAAAGTCATATCACAAGTGCTTTTCTTATCTACGTTATAGTCAGGATCTACTAGGGAGTACCAGAATCATAGATCGTAAGCAAAGATGACCTCATTTCGGCGGAAAAGTTTGATACCTAGATGGTACACCTGCAAGAAGTTCACGAGAAACTAGTCAAATACACTGATCAGACTGGCGTTGCTGTTGTTCCCAGCAGAACGATAGCTTTTCAAAAGCAGTAGTCTCGCTCGGTACCCATGGCAAATACGAGATCACAGAGAAACAACTGACGATGTATGGCAAATTAAAACATATTCACGTGATCTTTAATAGCGACCACTGCCTTGTAAATGGTTTTCTCATCATAACAGTACTTTTGAGAGAGGAGAAATAAACGGTAATGTTAGTAATTGAATAATTTAAACAAAATTAAAATGATATTTGTTTAATCAGAATTTCTCTGAAATTTTTTATTTACATGAACGTAGATGAATTTTTGAACTGTTGTACTTAAGTGGTACTTATTGTTTTATGTGGTATAGTGTTGGCTTTGTACTTTGTAAAGTGATCGGAAATCATGACATTGTTGTACTCGATTGAAATCATAAATCTACTTAAAATTGTATTTTTTTAGAATACTTGATATAATCTAATACTTACTATTTTGTTGTTCCTCTTCAACTTCTGTCAAAAGAAATTGCTCTAAAATTCGAATCAATTAATTTAAAAATTAAAATATTTATTTATACCATATATGGAGTGGTGTAAATCTGCCTTTAATTTCTTTGGTCAGCTGTCAATTGTCCAATAGTTTAAAGTTTTGTGAACTGTTAAATTCTTAGAATATAAAACCGCAAGAAGGAGACTTTACTCTTTAAATTTTAATCGGAATGAAAAAGTTATACGGTGCCTACAACTATAGGAAAGGAAAATTTTAGTTACAACAAAAAGGTTTTTGTCTGGCCAGTACTTTCAGGCTCCCAATTATTCTTCTTCAAATTACAATAGATGTCACCGATTAAAGGGTGAGATTGCTAATGATATTTTTCTAAAGAAATTTC